TCTGTGATTTAGTAAATTACAAGAAGAAATTAATAAAGTCCTTCTGGAAACCCCATGGTAAAAACTAAAATAAAATACAACTTTAAAACTTGTAGGATACTTGTATTTACAATATTACAATATTTAATAATAGTAGAAATATCAAAATAACAATCTCCCCATATCTCTTGAAGGAGAAAAATTTTCAGTTGCCTTATTTTCAGTTTTCAACAATTTCAATTTATGACCGTTTTTGTTAAACTTGAGTTGAAATTCAGTATAATATGTATAAGTATAATTTGTTTTTGGATGAAAAAAATATTTAATTTTTCCAATAAAACTGAAAACACAAACAATCTTTATACTTCTTTTTTCATGAAAAATCTAAATTTATGAGGTATGTTTTCATAATCATATATTTTAAAACTGGTTTTCTATTAACATACAATGGCATGAATGGTCTCCTGACTGAATGAGATCTTCACAACTATAACAAGATTCAGTTTTCCAAACTTTATGTTTCTGTTTACCTTGGAAAGTCAAAGATATAATAATCAAGGAAAACACTTGAGGCTAAGGACACAACTAATCATTCCTCTCACAAATCATTATCACCAAACAATACCCTTTTCAATAATTTGATTTAGGTTATTCTATAAGAGAGGTTCATCTACAATTATCTATCAATTCTAGCCTCTGGGCTTTAGGGTAACCAAACTATTAACACAGCATTAATAGCATATTTCAAATATCCTTTATGAAAATTATTTTTTTGTTTGTTTTTGTCAATTCAGAGTTGTTAACACTTATTATTCCCTATTATATGCAATCATTTAAACTCATTAGTAAAAAGTCTGATAGTTACTTTAATTCATTTAATTAATAATATAAATCTTTGCAAGTAGGGTCAAAAACATGTTTGGCAATGTGAATAAATCTTCAAAGACAAGTACTTTGATTCTTGACAAAGACATTCACTTTTGATTTTTCTTACTGGATTCATATCCCCATTCCACTTATTTGGACTAAAAATGTCAGATGTTTTTTCAAATGGATACAAAAATGTCCAAATTTTGAAACTGGCTGCAGCTCCCTCAAGTGTTTCGATGCTTATGGAGGCAATAATGCTTTAGGCCTAGGCCCTCCCAATTAAGGTATTGAATTTTACAATTTATTATGCAAATAAAACCCCTATTAAACTATTTTAGGAAATCACTGTAAATTAAACAATCTATTTCTAGCTTTGTTCAATGTTTTAAGTTCTTAATTTGGGACAGCCCCCATATACTTCAATACTAAAGGGACCAGTGCAAGAAATATGAAGATCCCCAGAAATTTCGTTTTGACTGTAACTGACAAAAAATTAACCTTATTAACCTTAATATGCCTATACAGTGAAACCTGTAAAACGGGAACACCTTTTGCAGTGGAACACCTCCTGATGTGGAACACATTTCAGAGTCCCAAGACCAATTGACTAAATGTTAAATGAACCTCTATAAGTGGAACACTCAAGTGGAACATTTTTAAGAGGTGCAAAAGGTGTTCCACGTTTTACTGTACTTAGTCTGTACATTAGTTACCATAGTAAAGAAGCATCTACCCTTTGCAAGAGCTGAACTTAATCTACACTCTTCACTTCAGAGATACTTCTTTGATTGATCTTAGCTATATCAAAATATATCATTTCAGATCCCATGAACGACCTATATTTTATATTGTATGGATTAAAACAGTACAATCTTCTGTAATCATTAGAGGATGGTGTACCTAGCTGATAGAGAATCAGGGTTAGAAGTCTTCATATGTTGTATTTTGCACATATTGAGATTAATGTCAAGATGAGGCACCGTTGGGAACACATGCAATACAGACTACTCGGAAGTTATTTTAGATGACACTTCAACCAAAGGAAGGCGTCTAATTGTTCAACATCATTCAAGAAATGTCTCAAGAGATTTTCAAATATAAGAGGAAAATCTAAGCATTAACTTACCTTGCAAACAAGTGTGGCAATACTCTCAGAAATAAAAGTACTCATTTTGTCACAAGACAGAGACTTAATGTTTTGGTTACAGTAAGGATAAAACACAAAATTAGTGCAGTGATTTCACAGTTCATACAATAGCCTGAGATTTCCTCACCTCCAACCATCTTGGAAATTAGCAGCATGTCTTAGGAGCTTATAAGACAAGTGTATTCAATGTCAAATCCATTAGCAGAAGCAGTGTTTTGATGCATTTGCAATATTCCAATGGGCCCAACTAACATTAGTGGTTACAGACTCATTTATTTGTAAAGTACATTAGATCAGACATCTACATGGAAGACAAGGTTTCATTGGTGTCTGGCCATATTAATTGAATTCAATTTTAAATGAAGATCTTCGAATAATGGAGGATGGTCAAATAAACCAGTTTTAATGCTCAAGCTGCATATCTTTAAGATATTTTCAACAAGTAATTTTACCTTTTATTTATTTTAATTCAATTTAAATACTATGAAGAAACATGTACCTGGACTTTCATCTTGTTTGAAGATCTTATCAACTTTAAATATTGCATCCATCTTAAATATTTCATCAATCTTAAATATTTTGTCAATATTATATGTTTTATCAATTTTGTAAATGATATATATTTTATCAATTTTTAACATCTTATATTGGACAGTATTTGTGCCAGCCAAGTTTCTTAAAATACATAAACAAATAGTAGTCTGGAGAGATCCATTTGTCATTCCTCAATATTCCCATATAATTAAAACATTAGAATTATTTTTCCCTGTGAAAATTCTCTGAGAGTCTGTGTGAATGGTTAAATTGAAAAGAACTGATTTTTTATCTGCAATCCTGTAATTCAAATCATACCACAATATTGTGAAGGAATATAACGGAACATCCAGGACATCATATTGTGGTTAAAACAAGTTCATACCACCGCAAAAATTTCACCTCATTCATTATATGGACAGTTATCACATTGTCATACTCCGTTCACTCATTCTCCATTCTGATTTTGAAAATATGATTGTCTCAAATGACCATTATGAGGTACAAAGTCATTTTTCTGTATCTAGTTAACTCGTTTTCTGACAATATGGTCGGTTTATTAGACAGGTAGATTTGGAATCAAAATGAAATATTTTCTGTTTTAATAGGAGTTTTATTAAAGAAAATGGGTCACACCTATATTTCCTTGAGGCAAAATATAATTTTTTGAAATTGAAAATTACCATATTTTATTATTTCACGGCTCCAACGATTCCCTAGATTGTCAATGTGATGTACAATGGAATTCATGAGGTAAATTTAAAACATGTTTTTTGTTTCAGATAAAAGAGTTTAAATTTTACTGACCCGACATAATTTAGTTGACATTTACACAGTGTAAAATAAACCAATTTTATTATCCCCAATCCATAAAATTCATCTTCACAAAAATGTGGCGGAGAGACCATACTCTAAAACCTGATTAAAATGCCAACATTTTTGGAAGTTTATGGCCAAATGGTTGATTTTATTTAATATGGTCGTATAATGGATTATTCTTGCCATATGGGGTAAAAGTAAAACCCTGATATTCAATTACTTTCTCTGTGATAATTCACAATGTTGATGGAATGAAATTTAATTATCGTCACAGTTTAAGACATTAAGGAGAACATCAATACCCCAAAGAAGTATTAACTGTCAGTGTTATTCTATGGGCAAAGTATTTAATGACCAGGTGACTACAATACAACATGTAATCTAAAACATTGTGGACAAGCATGATGAGTACTAATTCAAGATAACTGCAGATTTTTGAATTTTTGTAAAATATTGTAATAGTTATATTTAAAAAAATAAAATAAAATAGAAACCCATGGATTGTAATTATTAATATGCATATACAAGAAATATATAAAACATTATATCATTTTATGTTTTATATATTTCATATTATATATTTCATGGTATGTCATTGTGTATTATGATTTTATAGCCAGAGGGATTAGTTTAATGGTGAGCATATGTTTATCACTCTAATTACATTTTTAAATAAATATGTATTTTGTAAACACAAACTTTCTAAGTTCACCTTTTACACGACCTTTTGTTAATCGGAGCATAGTCGTTCAATGGATACATTGGTACTGATGCAAATTAATATGCTTTTGTTCAAGTCTTCACTATAGTATTACATTTCAACCTCAATTTAGTCTTCTCTTTCTACTGGTGAAATGTGAACATTATAAGAGACCCAAATGTCAATACACCGATGCTATAGATAGTATTTACAAGGTTCTAATAATAGCGAAATGTGATAATAAATTCCTGGTTAGTCTAGATAATTTGGGGATTTTCCTGGACTTTTATCAATTGTTTCACTTGTCTTTATATAGCGAACTTCAGATTTGATGGATGGTTCTAAATATGGTCCAATAGTTTAATGCTATTCATTCTATCAATGTAGTTTGCACAACAATAGGCCCTGATTAAATAGGTGTAAATACCATCTGCAAAATGTTTGTCTTCCATCCTCCATTATATTCAGTCAGGTCATATTATCAGAATAACAATATTTTGTAGGATTAAATAATTGATGTCTACGGACTGACCTGCAGAAAAATGTGGATTTCAGCAAAGGTGTTATAAATATAAACTGATGCAATTTAACGTTGATTAATTGTAAATATGTTATTTTAAGTTGTGTGTGCCTGAATACCGAATGATTGGATGATGGGATTTAATAATTAAATTAAAATTGCATAAAAATTGTTTTTTTCAATTACATGTATAAGTATAGCCTCATTAATGGTGTGTTTAATTAAACCATGAAAATGTGGATGATTTCATTAAAATGTTAATCTACAATATCAGATTATCTACAGAAAAAAAACAATTAATGACCTGCTATCAAAATATATAATTACATCGAAATATTGTTCTACTTGCAGTTTTCTTAGATACAGTATAAAATATGACCTTTTATAAAAATCAAGCTTTTTAAAATGACATAACAATTAATGACTCTCACCTTATCAGTTCTGCTATATACCTATATCAGTTGATATGCCTAATGACCTAGCGCCTGAGATGATCCAATATTCCCAGCAATCCTTACAATACACAGGGCTGATCTCCTCCTAGGTGCTCTATTATAAACTACACAGACTAGACCCTAGTGTATGGCAACTATAATGTAACATATAATCCCTTTGAGACATTCATAGTCTGATCCAGCCTTTTAGATTTTATAGTATGTATGTAAGAAGCCGTTGGCGAAAGACTCTGGCGATTACTTGTCACATTGCTACAAAGATACTATCCTCAATAGGGTCACTTATCTTACTTAATATCTGAGATATCAGCTTGAAAACACTGTTTTCGTGCATCGTAATTACATCCAAGAGCTAATCCAAAGTAGTGCCTTATAAGCGTGATAAAATACATTTAATTACATTCCTTATTTATGTAGATCCAAACCCTGTGTGCATCTTTAACACTTTCTAATTTGATTGTTTTTTCACTTCAATTTCTTTTCTAATCCATCATCTTTAATTTAAGAAAATGTTCAGTTTTTATAGACAAATTCTCTGTTTAGAATAATACACTTGACTCTTCTATTAGTGAACAGCCTCCCATTTGATGGCAGCTTTCAAAGCAAGGGTGTCATTATGGTTATTGATGCTCCGCCTTTATATTATACCCCCTATCATTAGTAGTTTATATTATAATTAACTTTCCAACCCCTAGACCTCACCATTCAGGTAGGTAGAATGATTGGCATGTAAGGAGAATTCATCTTTTCAAACTAAACAAGATACACTGTATAGATCACCTCGAGATACATTATGCATTTCTTGTCTTCTAATCTCAGTGTTGCTTTAAACAGCAATAAAATTCATCTTTAAGTCAGTATAAAACACATTAAGTGCGATTCGATTTTGTAAACAATTTTAAGACTGATCTTATCACTAGCTTAGCTTAGAAAATATGTATTTACAAATCAACAAGCTAGATATATTAGAGGAAGGATCGAGATATTATTGTATTAATTACCCAGGTGGCGGACATTATATAATTAAAGCTGTGTAAATGATGTTAACATAGTAAAACAATGTACTTGTGGATTTAATGGCATACAAATCTATTCTGATTACAATATATTAATACACTTATCCTAAAACAATGTAACATTATAAAAAATTACAAAAAGCAAATGTCTGTAAAATTAAAAAAATTATTAATTTTTTCGCAAAGGTCTCACACTGCTTATAACATCTTAATAAAGCTAGAAGTCATAAACTCCGATCCTAAATGAAGTTTTAATTCAAAACAAGGCACAGTTATAAGGATCTATTTATTAAAAAAGTGCAATTGTGCCGTTCACCATTAATCTCAGCTAACAAGGAACTGACAGAGTGGCTCTGGAGAGCGAAAAGGAAGACTAAGGAGGCATTTATATACGAGATATGTCTCTACATTCAAACATTTCATCCCCTCACAACTAACTAATGAAGCCTTATTACAACTACACTTCATAAATCATGGTTACCTTTTTACACATAAAACCCTGGGGGTAGAAATTACTATAAAGAATCCTACAGAAGTGAACAGAGATATATGTTTTAAGAGTGGCTATTAGTATATACAGTGTTATAACTGTTAGAAAAGCCACCTTGTGGTAGTCACCAATATATTTAATCTTATAACTTATCTGATTACCTGATAAAACCGTGTTTTAAACATAGACTTTTTATGACTTTCATGTGTTATAAATGTAAGTGTTATTTTTATTAAGTGTCAACTGATGTGTAGACCACTGACTTATCTAGATGAAGCAATATCCATCCCCTGGTTACTTATCCTGCACCTGTGTCCATAGTCTACAACATTAGATACAACATGATAAGCTATTGACCCATTATGATACACTGTACACATAACATCTTTTTGTTATGTTACTAGAAGGAATGCATGGAAGGGTGTGATCTCAGGATGCTAACTGACCACAACACTTCAAATAGAGGAAACAGATAAAAGGTTACTTAATTGCAAGATATGAACAATGGGATTGAATTATTTCACTATTTATTACGTACTTCATACAAAAGTTATTGGGGCACAGTAAGCCCTTATTTGGTGAATAAGTCCTTATTTGGATGTATAACCTTATGTCACATAGTGACCTTGCCTGGCTTATATCCAATCAAATTATTTCAAAAACTGATTACATCATTAACAAGAATTTTGCAACAGCGAGCTTTACAGCAAGATTTCTAGGTACTCCAGTTCTCTACCCAAGACACTATAAGTTTTATCAATCCTAAATCCATAACAGTATATCAAATAAAACATTTTAAAAATCCAGCTTATCTAATCAACAAGCATCTGTTGAGATTTAGTTGCTTCATTTTCAAGTAGTGACCTTGTACTGCTATTGACCTTGCATGACCTCTTCAACTTTCTGATATTAGAAACATTAAACATTAGCAATGAGGTATTTGATTCACACTGAGACCCTGAGGTAGGCCAAATGAAAATAAAAAAAAACATTTCAGAAATAGAGTCAGAAAATGGGGCTCAAATCACACGGAGGGTGCACTCATATTTCTATAACTTCCCTCCCTAAGGATTCCAAGGTCCATCCCTGATTCCTGTTGCATAGCTATTCATCTTCCCACTTGAAGAATCCCAGGTATTTAGACCCTTGAGTTAATGCTCTCTGAGGATAAACCTGGACAAAGCAGAGATATAGGGAGACAAATGTCTTAATGGCTTACAATAGGATTTCTCCATTAGTGACTTCAACCTAAGTTCCCATGGTCTATAAGTACCCATCAAGGACTCCTATATGGGACTCCTTAACTGATCATGGGGTAACCCAAACTAATTATAAATAACTTATATTTTGTTTACTATACACAGAGCAGATCCTTTCATATAAATAGAAGTCAAAAGTTCAATTGATTCAGATAAGGAGGATAATTGAACCCATTTGAGAGATATTCTCATATTTATTTCAACTGAAAATTAGAATTTGCTTTGACAGATATTGGAGATTGGAAACTTCCTAGCTACTATCAAATTGTTACTGGTCAGTTATTGTTGGTCAGAGGGCTAATTTAATGGTCTAATTCTATATTAGTTTCTCGGAGATTTTCTTTATAGCCATTCGAATTGTAATCTTAGTAGCCATATTTGAGGTGAATCTTAGAATTTTGACCTGTGAAGGATATTCCGGGGAGCAATAATTGCTAATAATTCAACTTTCACAAATAGACAGCGTTCTGGGAATAAACAAATAGACAAGATTATTTTTGGGTTTGTATTACAATCAATTATAAATGGCAATAAATATTTCCAAAGTGTTTAACTAAAATATTGTTGAACTTAAATGTTCTTAATCATTTACCAGAGGGATTGTTTATGTCATGTTAACATGATATGCTGAATTGTTCAATTTAAATGTGACATGTTTTCACAAATAAAAACATCTTCAGGAATTGAAAAAAACAATCAATATTGTCAAATTGTCTTATAAGTCGACTATGGTATTCTCATTGTCAATGTGTAATCACTGAATCTTACCCTTTGGTACCGGATATACACTCTAACACTTTTTAGGTTTTCATGTTATTGAAATACATCTACCGGTATATTTTTAATCAAAACAAAATAAAGTGTTTTATTTACGTCTTTTTAATATAATTAACAGAGATAACTGTACGAGGTTAAAGACGGTTGGAACATTAGAAATTACTATGTGTGATTGTGTGTACATGTAATGTACATATATAGTAAATAAAACATGAATGAACGCATGTAATGTACATTGATTTAATGCTTGTCCAGAAGGACTGCATTGGCGCTTTGATCTATTGACACAATACTAGAAAAGGGCAAATCATTACTGTCCATCAGACCACCACCTCTGACTTTAACATTCACCCTAAAGGTAGCTCAGGTTAATGCAGTGCTATTTCACTGTCAAGAAGATATTTCTACTATTACAACATACATTTATAGTGATGTACGAGGGTTATCCCAAAAGTATTGCCCCTGTTTAATACTTAGCATTTTAATATTTTGTGTGGTAAATGCTTGGTGATTAAACTTCAGGATATAATTGATAAAACTAAAATACAGTGTAAAGCAGATCTTTAGAAAATCAGGGTTAAAATTAGTTATTTTTTGAATAGAAAAGAGTTTGATCAAATAGTGCACTATTTCTGGTACAGTCCTCGTAGTTTATAGTATAGTGATTCACTGATTGTAAGTAAATACCACTTGTATAGATTTATTGTATTGCAGAGGTGTAATTATTTGATAAAATTCAATCAATTAAGTCAATGTATTGGCCTTTATACAATTTATGCACATTTATTGATTGGCAACATGGTATATCAAGATATGGTTGAAGACATAAATTAAACAAGGTATTAACATGCAAAATGTCACCACCTGCCATTTGTTACAGACACTGACCATCAAACACTGAACGCCAACCACCGAACACCATCTACTTGTGGTGGTAACATAATAATCATTATACTGTATAGGTATAAAAATATATAATATTTTCAGAGTATTTAATTTAATATACCTATCAATTTTATCAATATCTACATAGGTAGTGAGGTAGCACAGAAAAATGTACCCGCTTCTGAACAAATTGAAATTACTTGTTTTTTATGTATTTTTATGTGATACTTCAGAAAATTTTTGTCTGACGCGCCATTTCCGGGGCGAAAGTTGTCAAAATTGGGTTTTTGACCCTAAAAAGGAAAATTACAGGGGGTACATTAACATCATTGAATAATTCATTCAGTTAGTCTTCAATCATCATAATGATTTTATTGAGAGTTGATGAGATCATTTTAAGGTAGTATGCAAACTTTCAATGGTCTGTCACTCGTGGTTGCCATGGAAACCACAATTTTTGCTGAGAAAATCCTTAATTTTGGTAAAACCTGTACCTGTACATAATATAGAATGTGGATTATTTTTCAAATCAACAGATATCAGAACATTTTAGCACTCTAAAAATCACCAGGGCTGTCCAAACATTTGTTTAAAGAGAAAGAATATTGCAATTTATATGACTGGTAAGTGTCAAAGACCATACAATTACATAAGTGGTCAAAAGTGGGCGTCGCCCTCATAATAGTAGTTGATTGCCATTCTCTATAAATACAGAGTTTTTCTTGACTTTTGAGATACATTTATATTGAATTTCTTTGGTTATACTTAATATCAAGCATTTTTACATCTAAGTGTTATAGTTATTGCATGGGGATACAGGAAGGAGGGGGAGGGGGGGGTAGTAACAGAATTGGGAGGGGGCAGAGCTTATCAGCCTTAAGTGTAAATCTCATCTACATGGTTCTAGATTTCATAGGGTACAGCTTCTGATTCTTATTATATTCATCTCAATATATATGATATAAGAATTT